CCTTGGAGAGACTGAGAAAGGCAGGATTATAAAGAGCTACAGGCAGAAATGGAGATGGCAGTGCTGTCATAGGACTATCAGAGATCCAAGCACAGAAAAAGAAGCAGAGATTGACGGATAGGAAAGCCAAGAGTCTTAAAGAGAAAATAGAGACTAGCCTGAGAGTGTCACATGCTTAGAGTGTGTGTTGAGGGCTCACGGGCCCTGTACGTGCCAGGTTCCTGGTGTCTGCCTGTCCTGGTGAGCTTATTTGATATTCTGGTGGCCACACAGCACCCTCTCCTGGATGGCATGGGCTTGGCAGGTGCAGAGCTGTCCACCCTCTCCACGTTTGTGCGGGAACCATTTCANGCATGGGCTTGGCAGGTGCAGAGCTGTCCACCCTCTCCACGTTTGTGCGGGAACCATTTCAGAGTCTGAGGTTTGGAGGCAGGTCTGGCCTTCGACCACCGTGATGGTTCCTACTGGCCTGTGACCTGGTGGCCTCCTACTTCCTAGGTGTCAGGGAGGCCTAGTTCGCAGCAGCTGATTCTCCTCAAGGTCTGACCAGGCCTTAATGTTTTTGCCATTCTGCACAGGGCCAGCTTGGGAAGAAGGAAAGGGTGCATGCACACATACTCAGGGACTCCGTGTACAGCTGTGCAGGTTGGTTACTGCACAAGGATACCTCATCTAAGAGCTGCCATCTGCAGCAGAATGCAGATTAGCAGACTATGATACAGTATCATAGATTGTATATTTATGGTGAAAAGTGTCCAGCAGATGGCAGTCAAATGTCTTTTTCCAACAAAATATGGATATTATGCCAGTTTGCCAACAGATGTCAGTAAAGCGTTTTGAGGAAGGGTGTCCTTTTCTAATTAGCACAAAGGCACTGTATGGACTAGCAGGGAATTGGCCCAGACCTGGGAAGAGTCATTGAGACTGGGCACAACAGAAACTGTATTCTTGAAACCTAACAGGAGATGGAGGCCTCTGTGTGAACATTCCAGGGACATCCTGAACCCTCAGGTCAGGAGCTCCCCCAAGTTCCTTTTCTCTGTCTATCAAAGCAACATATTTCTTAGTTCTGGACTCCAGATCTTAGATTTCTTCCTTC